TGAACCTATGCCTGGTGCTTTTCCTACTTTTAACACAAATTTTGAAATTAAAGGTCAATTGATCCACTCATTACCTAAGTTTCATGGTCTTGCAGGAGAAAACCCGTACCTTCATCTCCAGACTCTCTACATACAGTGCTTGTCCATGAAGCTAGTGGGGGCAAGCATCGATGATGTCATGTGGAAGGTGTTTCACCTGTCCTTAAAGGGATAAGCGAAAGAATAGTATGTGAACCTGCCACGCTATGTAGACAACACTTATGAGTCATAGACTATTTGAAGAAAGCATTTTTGTACAAGTATTTCCCCTCTACCAAGATCTCAGTTGCCCAAAAGGAAATTTTTGTGGCTAAGCAAGAACCATTCGAGTCATTCTTCAAATTCTGGAGCCGGTTTCAAGAAATGCTTACCCGGTGCCCTAATCATCAAATCCTTGAGGAGCACTTCGTACAGTATTTCTATAATGGATTATTGCCCTATGATGCCCAAGTCCTGGATGCTGCTGCGAATGGATTAGTAGAGAATATGGAACCACGAGCTGCATGGGAGTTAATAAGAACTTTTGCTCTCAACCGACAACATGTAAGCTCAAGAGATCCAAGGGACCACAAAGCTGAAAGGGATCCACTTTTGGTCAAGCTAGAGCAAGATATGTCTAAGCTTGCAAACACTGTTAAAGGTCTTCGCTCCACCAAGCCACAATCTCTTGCTTTAGTGGCTACAAGTTGTGGGGTTTATGACTCTCCGATGTATACCACTCAGAATTGTCCTGAGCCGGTTAAAGAAGTTAATGCTATGTACCAAGGTAAAGAGGGGCAATATCAGAAAAGGGACCCCTACTCAAATACCTACAATCCCGGTTGGAGAGACCACCCAAACTTTAAATGGGGAGGAGGAGCAAATAGACCAAATTAGTTCCAAGGCAATCAGTTTCACAATCCTAGAGCTTCCTCAAGCAATTTTCAAGATCCTTCAAGAGCAGTAGTGACAACCCTACAATATGCTATACTATCTCAACCACCACTGAGAGGGGATGACACTTCTCAACTCTTGAAGAGTATGGCTGCACAGATGACAAAGATCGAAGGACGAATGAAGGAGAGTGATGACAAGTTCATCTTCATACGTAGAAAGATAACTCAGATATGCACAAGAAATTGGAGGAGCTTACCTTAAAGAACACCGATATCACTAGTCATTTGACCCAACTATCTAATGCGGTCAATGACATACAAGCCAAGAGTGGGGGAAGCATTCCCTCCAATATAGTGATCAACCTAAAGAGCCTCAATGCTATAACCCTATGAAGTGGTAGGAAGGTTTACTTTAAGGGTGAAAGGGTAGATAAGATTGGAGTTGATAAAGATGTTGACAGCCCTCTACTTTCCTCAATGAGACTTGGCAAGTCTGAAAGCTCACAAGAAGAAGAGCTCATAAAGAGGGCAAGAGCACAAACTGGTCCAGAAGAGAAGTCAACTCAAGCACATGACCAAGTAATTCAAGAAGCTGTGCCAGAAGATGAAAAGATTATGGAGAGCTCCGCTTACAAAGGCAAACAAAAAGAGGATAAGGCAGAGACGAGCATGTAAGGAGCCTTTAAGCCTTCAGGTAAGGAGGTAAGTGCTAAAGATCTCCCTTATCCTAAAGCCTATTTCTCTGGTAAGAAAAAGTTTGATGCCGAGTTTGCCACTGATGCTTATACTCTATTTAACAAACTGGAAATTAATGTGCCCATAATTCAATTCTTGAGAGGAAACCCTAAATAGTTTAAACTATTAAAGGAACTGTGTAATGATAAGCAAAGGTTTAGGCCTCTTGAGAGAATTCAAGTGAGTGCCAATGTGTCATCTTTATTCAAAGCTGAACTATCGGTTAAGCGCCAAGATCCTGGATCTTACACCATCCCCTGTACCATAGGAAAGGTTCATATTAAGGGAGCATTGTTAGATTTAGGAGCCACTATAAATATCATGCCCTGGTTGGTTTATTTGGCTTTAGGGATAAATGGCATCAAAGACACAAGTGTAGTACTCCAACTAGCAGATAAGTCTATCAGGACCCCAAGGGAATCATAGAGGACATTCTTGTTCAAGTTAAAGACCTAGTATTTCCTGCTGATTTCTATGTTCTAGACATGTCCAATGAACTCGCAAATGAGAGTACTCTGATTTTAGGAAGACCTTTCTTGCAAACTCCCAAAACCATCATAAGCATGAAGCATAGCTGTATAACAATGCAAGTAGGAGATCATGTTGTAACTTTTAATATGAATGAAGCCATATGTTACCCCTTTGATAATTCTACATTCATGGGTTTAAATGCCATTGATTTAGCTATTGAGCAAGCTAGGGATGAGCATGAGTTGCATATGCATGATGATTTATAACATGTGTTCACCTAAATTGATTCATTCTTCTACTATACCTTCACATGAATCTTATGAGCTTGACTTGTCTTTGAGTGCATATGATGAATATTTCAATTCCCTCTCCTCTATTTATTCATTTTCTAGTTCTTGTGGAGATGAGGTGTCATGCATTAATTCTTTAGAAATTGATAGCATGCTTTCTATTTCTCAAGACTTTTCTTTCCCATCAAGTTTTGATTCCATTTTTGTATTTACAACTGATGTTGGTCTTGGAAAGAGTTTGTTAGCTAATGATGTAGGTGTTCAAGAAGTGGTGGGTATTGAGAGTGGAGCAATATCTGAGGACATGAGCCTCTGTGAGTTGAGGTCACGACCTGGGGATTTTCAAGTCGCGACTTCAGACCAAAACTGTTAAGAGGGTGGCCTCAGTGAAGTTAGGTCGTGACTTGGAGATGTGAGGTCGTGACTTGGAGATGTGAGGTAATGACCTGAGCCCCCTGTTTCACCTCCTAAACTTCAAACTTCAATTGCTCCATCACCTCATGTCTTGAAGACTTTGGTTAAAGGGCCAACACTTTCTAACTCAATTACTACTCATACACATTCTAAAATTACACCCCATACCTTACGATATTTGAATAATCTAATCTCTAATAATGATATAGGTATGAAGGTGAACCAACCTAAGGTTGTTGCTGTTGTAAACCAACTAAAGCTTGGTGCAACATCTGATAGGATTGATGTAAGCATAGTGGAACCAAGTGAAGCTAGCGAGTGCATTTCACAAGGGTCTACAAAGGGGAGTTTCTCTAACTCTGTTGATTTTCCTACTCTAATTCCCTCTATTGTTTAACCCCCAACTATAGAACTGAAAGATTTACCTCCCAATCTCAAATATGTTTATCTTGAGCTTGAGAATAAATTCCCTGTCATTATTTCTAGTTGACATTAAGGGAATTGACTCTACTATGTGTACCTATAGGATTTTACTGACTAAGGATTCCAAGCCAATTAAACAAAGCCAGAGAAGGTTGAATCCTCTAATTTCTGATATGGTTAGGAAAGAAGTAGATAAACTTATGTAATAGCGAATGGGTGTCATCGGTACAAGTCGTGTTGAAAAAGAGTAGGATCACAGCAGTTAAAAATGAGAACAATGAACTCGTCCTAACTAGGGTGCAAAACTCATGGAGAGTTTGCATTGACTATAGGAAACTGAATGAATCCACTAGGAAATATCACTTTCCCTTGCCTTTTATTGATCAAATGCTTGAATGGTTAGCAGGGAAGAGTCATTACTGCTTCTTAGATGGATATTCTGGATATTTTCAAATTCCTATAGACCCTAAGTGTCACCCCTTACTTATATAGTACCTTAGCATTCATTTAGAACCATTCCAAACCATATTGGATGGTCTTACACTTAAAAATTTCAATTTGGACGTTAATTTTCAGAAAATTACTGTTCACTGTCCAGTTTTCAGATTACAGGTCCAACTTTGAAAAATCATAACTAATTCTAGAAAAATCATATGAAGGTGTTCCAAAAATCATAACTAATTTTCTTTTCCTTCTTTTACATACTACTTGCCTAATTTGAGTTCTTTTCTTGCGAGGTACTCACTTTCCTAAAGTTCTTTCAAGGTAGTACCTTTCCTAAATACTTTGTTTCCTATTTTCCTTTATTTTCATAATCTTATTTTCATTCTTTACTTCCTTCCTCCCTTTCCCATGTTTCTTTTCTATCCATTTTTTTCATCATATACATCTTCTCTCCTTACTTGTTTTTTACCTCCTTTCATTCCATCCTCACTCTTTCCTATCCTTCTCTTTCATCTCTTATTATTTATTTTCCTATTTCACATAGTTGCTAGCTGTTATAATTTCTTGTTGTGAAGGTTACCACTTTCTAACATTGCCTCTTGTTTTTTTTTATCGAGTTTCAATTAAGAATACTATAGGAGGCAAGCTTGAGTGGTAGAAGGCAAGAGTGTTTTATTTCAATATAAAAGCTGGATTTAAGAGATACACGAGTGGTACCAAATTGATTAGTGAAACACGTGAGCATAGTGGTGAGGTCCTTTATTTCTATCTTTGCTTTAACTAACACCTTAGGTTAAAGATGAGCAGGAAAGAATCTAACAATGAAGAATTCAACACAGATATCAAAATATTCATGAGGGCCATGAGAGATGAGTTTCTTAAACTCAAGATGAAAATGGAAGAGTTAAAGATATCCAAAGAAGATAGTAGTAATGAGGAGGCGATTAGATCTGGCTTGTCATCTTCAAAGAGTAGGAGCAAATATTCCAAAAATAACATAGCCATAACTGACCCAAAGATCAAGTATCCTACTTTCAAGGGTAATACCAATCCAAATAAATATCTTGATTAGGAGATGAAGTTTAAGTAGATTTCTAGAATGAATGATTGGCCTGAAGAAAATAAGGTAAAATTAGCTTCATTTTAGTTTTTTGACTATGCTATTATTTAGTGGGAAGATTTACAGCTTAAGGGTAAAGGCCCACCTCGTATGTGGGAGAAGCTAAATAAACTCATGCGCATGAAGTATGTTCTTAGTTTCTACTATCGAGAGCTTAATAGAAAGTTGTGACTGTTTAACCAAGACTCTATGACAGTAGAAGAGTATGTATATCAGCCTGATCTCTTTAAGATGCGTGCTGGAGTACAAAAAGATGAAAAATCAAGCATGACCAGAATAATTGATGGTTTAAGACCTGAAATTAGAGACAAGGTTGAGATGTACACTTTTGTTGATAAGGAAGAGTTGGTGCACAAAGCTATCAAAGTTGAGAAATGGTTTAAAAAGAAACACTCCAAATCCTTATCATATAGCTGGAGGAACTCTAAATCAACCTTTAAGTAGAAGGATTCTAAGGCTAAGGATGTAGCAAGATTCACACCTAAAGCCAAGGAGGAATCGAAGCCCAAGGTTGATGGTAGTAAGAAACTTGACTCTAAAACTTCTTCTACTAATAAAACCTCTTCTCTTCAATATTTTATCTGCAAGCAAGAAGTGGAGGGTCTCTACCTTCAAATACAGTGATTAATCTAAAGTCATTGAATGCCATTTCTTTGAGGAGTGGAAGACAAGTTGGAAAACAAGTCAGTTTTACTTTGGATGAGGATGATGAACAACTTAAAGAATGTGATAATATGTAGCAAAATGATGATTCTGTGGTGACCCCTCAAGTTCAATTTGAAAGCAAATGTGAAAAGAAATTATTGTCAACAAGGAAAAAAGAGAAAGAATCAATTTTCACACATGATGATGATGTAACTTGGGTTGCAAACTCTCAGCATTCTGGAATTAAGGAGTTACAGCAAGAAGTACCCAAAGTAGTCCCAACTCCTTCTGGTCAACAAAATGAGGAACTTCCAGAAATTCAGAAGCAATTAAGGAAGGGTAAGAGTGAGGTAAAGATTTCAGAGCTTCCTTTTCCCAAATCATTTCTTCTTAGTAGGAAATTGTCTAATGAACAAGTTGAGAAAGATGCTTTGAATCTATTTAGCAAGCTGGAAGTTAATGTACCCTTATTGGATTTCCTAAAAAGTATGCCTAAGTATGTGAGATTTTTGAAGGAGCCGTGTACTAACAAGAGGAAATGCAAACCTAATGAATTGGTTCAAATAGGCTTAAGTGTTTCAACACTTTTTAAGCCACATTTACCAGTGAAGTGTTTTGATCTAGGATCATTTACAATTCCATGCACTATTGGTAAATTGAATATAGCTAGTGCCCTCCTAGATTTAGGTGCTGCTATAAATGTTATACCATTGTCTATCTATACATCTTTGGGCATTAATTCAATAAAAGACACTAGTATGATCATTCAGTTGGCCGATAGAAGCATTAGAAGACCTCATGGGCTATTGGAAGATATTCTGGTCAAGGTTAAATACTTGATTTTTCCAGCTGATTTCTATGTCTTGGATATGTCCCATGAATAAACCATTGAGGGACCATTGATCTTAGGGAGACCATTCCTTTGAACTGCCAACACAGTGATTAGTATGAAAGATGGTTGTATCACGATGGAAGTGGGTGATCACATGATCAGTTTCAATGTTTATGAAGCTATGAAGCACCCATATGAAGATTACTCATTATTGGGCGTAAGTGCCATTGATGCTTTCATAGAAGACTCTGTAGCTGAATGTGAACCTTCCCTTTTAACGTGAACAAGTATGGTCTCACCACATTTGATTTAGATTTACCAATAATGAATTCCTTCTTCTGCCCCAATGATTTTTCTGTTTGTGATGATGAGGTGTAGTGTTGACTTTTATTCAATTGATAGCTCACTTTCCACATTGCAAGCATTTTCTTTTGATATTTCTTCTTTTGAACTCTTTTCTTTTGATGATGATTTTGTTTCTAAAATCTCTAATAATGGGTTTGGGAAAGGTATACTTTCTAACTTTACAGAAGCTAAGAATATTGCAAAATCTGCATTGGATGGTGCCAGTACCAATATAGCAACGTTGGAAACATCAAGAATGCATATTAATGAAGAAAAGAAAGGAGATTTGGTCACTGGACAAGCTTATGCTAAGGAACAAAAATTCCATATTCTACCAGCTCACTGTTCTGAGAAATTAAAGTTGCAATCTGATTCAATTTTGGATAATTTACATTAGAATTCTCCTTACGATGCATTAATCAACACTGCAGATAACTTTCATTCTTCATATCCTTTTCAAATGTTAAAGCATATTCATGAATTTTTGTCCACATTTTTTGCAGAAGCTGAACAACGTAGGAGAGAACTTCAATCATTGCAGCAAGTTACTTGTAATCAATATCATGCTCAAAAAGTGTTTAGAAATAAAGAATCTGCACAAGAGTTCAATGCTAAATTTATGAAATTCTTGCATAATGTACATTATTGAAACGTCCTACCTTTAACCCCTCAGATTATGCATTCATAAGCGTTACGGTTCAAGCAGATCATGACACAAGCCCGCGGATTTAAAATTTCAACATAATTACTCGGGTTACTATTTACTGTTTAAGTTCCAGATTATAGGTCCACATTCAAAAATTCATAACTAATTCCATAAAAATTGTATTGTGGCATTCTAAAATTCTACAAAAATATATTTCAATTCTATTTAAGGAAAAAATATCTAATTGGACTTATCCTTGCCCAATTCGTACAGGTTAATCAATAAATATTACTGTTCATTTCAAAAAATCTGGAACTTTCAGATTCTGTGCCTCAACTTTGGAAATTCATATCTCCTTACATACACATCCAATTGAGATGAACTACCTCTCGTTTTAAAGCTTGGGATGTGAACTATGAGTCTACCAAATCTTGTGACTTAACTCAATCGTTTGTTAGGTCAAACTGGAGCTACAAACTTACTACTCCAGGACCTACGTTTTATCCCTTAACATCTCTTTACTTTAATTCTTTTTATTTCTTTGGCATACATAACATGGGCTTACTCTTTCCCATTCATGCCCGTACATTTCTATACATGCCATAAGCATTATAATTAATTACATGGCATCATATGTATCCATAACATAAATTACATAATAAGAGAATTACACAATGAATAATATTATCAGTCATTGACATCAATAATTCTCCATTTTCTTCTCCTTTCTTCTCATGCCATTATTGCCCATTGATGATTGACCTATATGGTTGGTTAGGGAGGGGTGAGATTCAGGAGAATCTCAGTAGCAAACAATACCATATTAATCATGCTAGATGGATGCTAATGCACTACATGTAACTTATTTATTCTCTTGTTAATTAGTGACATATTAGCATGCTCAAAGCTAACTTCTTGATGTATGGCCATGGAGACATAATCTACTCATCATGAATAGCAATTGCAGCAACTAAAACATATCACAATAACATTCAATAACATGTACACGGCAACACACAAGCATACAACATCAAGCAATGACAATAGGTAAGTTACTACCTTGCATTTCAAGCTCTCCTCTTACTTTTCCTTTGACTCCCTTGACTTTCCAACCATGTGGGCATTCAGTCAACATCACCAAACATCCTCTTGGATGTTCCAAAGGTCCTAAACATAACCATAATGATCATACAATCTATTAGAACCACTAGATTACATAAAGTTCAAGATTAGCTCTCTTGAACCTCAACCCTTTCTCTTGCTCTTAGGGTTTTCTTTCTAAATTTTCTAACATAAATCTTATCATTTCCCATCCTTAAGATCCATTTCTTGTCAACTAGGACCATTTTAGATGGCCTTAGATTCAAGAAGATCAAATCTGGAAATTTTGATTCGCGGGTACTGTTCACGCAGCAATTCCAGAAATTTTGCTCAACTTTTAAAATTCATAATTAATTCTACAAAAATCAAAACTGAGTGGTTCCAAGTCTCACTGAAAGCTCCTTAAGTTAAATTTAAAGGAAAATAATTTCAGGAACTAATTCTATGCTGAACAGTACCAGAATTGTACGAAACTCGAAACTCTTCCAAAAGTTCAACACTGTTTCCAGATTTCAAACCCTAACTTTGAAAAATCACCATAAATCGTACACATATCCAAATGAAGTGTTCTGTCCATGGATTTAAAGCTTACAGAGTGTACATTAAGCATGAAAAATTTCAGAATCAGATATGGACAGTAACTAATTTGAAATAGGCATCAAATCAGATGCTACAGCCACCATATACCTTGAGCTTGAAGCTTGAACTTAGGTGGACTTTCTCTCACTAGAAATAGCTCTTTCTCTCTCTAGATGCAAGAGTGGCAGATTTTTCCCTATAGATCTTTGCTTGGCCGAAATATGAAGGGGAGGTAGTGCCTATTTATAGCCAAAAATTTGGCTTGAATGGACCAAAATACCCTTGGTGGCTAATAGAAAGGGTAAGGGTAATCTTGGAACTTCAAGTTGACTTTTACATCATCATTGCATTATCTTCTTGCATCATCCTTACCTCATTCTTCTAGAAGATGCTAGGAGTCACAAATGTGGTGGAGGAGGAGGGAGATTAAATCCTAGCCGTTGGATCAAACTTGTTCCACAAGTTTCCTCCGAATTTACTTGGCTCACGTTTCTCCGGCTTTCTTTATGGCCTTCCGGAGCTCAAAAAATTCTTCTGTCTGCTCCATAAATTCTTTTTAATTCTAGAGAGTATCTATGAATTTTCTTAGTGACAAGAGCCTTTTTATCGTTCGCTTTGGGGTTCTCAATAAAAAATAAATCCAAGTTATGCAATATAGTGCAAACTCGGGTCGTTTCACGCTTGGGAGCCTTAATTAATTACCTAAGTTAGACTAAATGCCATGCAATGTAATGAAAAGGGGTTTTTTGGGTTTTTAACATTTAAACGAATGGTGCCTAAACTGAATGCAATGAAAATAAACCTAAGATACTATGTTTTTAGTGTTTTAAGATAATAATGATGTAATGGAAATGATTGATAGGAAATCTCTTGAAAATGGTTTTGATGGCAATCATAGTTCACTCAAAATATTGGGAGTTTCACAAATCCATTAGGTTTTTTTAATAACAACCTCGATAACTCATTGAGTCCAAAGCTTACATTAATGAACTCATTAATGAAAACTTTGTTAAGCTTCCCTAATGCGTAATTTTGGAATGATCATGCAATTGGCTCAATGTGACACACAATCAACTCAGAATCAAAACATAACCATGCAAGATAGGAGAGAATCATGAGAGTTACAAGAAGCATATATGCAACTACATATATTTAAGCACAAAATTCAACATCAATCAATCCAAATTACAAATGTTAATCATTAACCAATGATTATAGAATTAACCAAAGTGTCTAACTAAGACTTTACAACTCCTAGACCTAGGAAATCATAAACACATAGCTAGAAACTAAAGATTAAAACTAAAACTCCCCTTTGAAGCTTGGAAACTCATGCTACTCCACCATCTTCAAGAGTTGGAAAAACCTACCTTATCATAGCCTTGGAATCAGCTCCAACCAGAGTTAAATCTTCAGCCATAACAGTTAGGAGATGAAGGAAATGAAAGTGGATGAAGAAGAAGTGCAGGAAAATGGAAGGTGAAGGAGATGGAGATGGAGATGGAGGATTAGGGTTCAATGGGAAAGATGAGAGGAGATGATGATAGAAAACGTAGGTCGTGGCTGCCTCCCCGTGTATGACCTCACCCATACCCAAAATAGGGTTTCTAACCCGAAAATGACGTGTATGGGTCGGTTCCTAGAGGTGGGTAGGTCAGATTTTCCCGAAATGGTTGGGTCTGAAATGTGCTGATACAAGGGGTTCGCCACGGTGAACCATGGCAGAGAGCTTTCCTATTTAATAGGCGACGTTTGCCTCGGCGAAGGAAGAAGTGTGCCACGACGAACTATGGCAGAGGCTCCTCTTTGCATCTTTGTGCCTTGAGTCTTCAATCTTGGCCCCGATCTCAGGTGTCCTACATTGAAAAGCAACAATTTAAGACATCAATTGTCCTAGAAATTAATTGAATACAATTATAACTAATTATGACAATTTTACCCTTAAAAAGACACTAACTTAATGTAAGGACTCTTAGCCTAAAATAAGCTCAATTATAACCAAAAAGGGCCAGAAAATACCACAAAACCATGGAAGATGTAATCAAAAGATAAGAATAAATTGAGCTCAATCAAATTCTCCCACACTTAGACCTTTGTACTCCTGGACAAAGCTCAAAAATAATTCAAAGAGATACCAGCACAAAGAGAAACACTACCATGCTTAAAGATGAAAGCAGAAGATTAGTAAGAAATTCTCACAGGATTTGACATCAGTAAACAAGGATATGCTAGGAAAAAGAGCACAATGGACAATTAACTCAAAGGATTGATCAAAAGAGATCTATCTCACGGGTAAGTGTTTCGCTCTATACTCACTTGTTTTGGGATTATTTCACTCTAAGTCTACTCAATTCAATTTCTACCATAGGCTTGTAATAATT